AACTGAGCTACAGAGAAACAGTTGTGGAGCTCTAACTACAAGTTCATGTATGAATACTAAGGTGATGCCAACTGTCTCTCTGTAGCTCAGTTGGTTAGAGCTCGACAACTGTCTCTCTGTAGCTCAGTTGGTTAGAGCTCGACAACTGTCTCTCTGTAGCTCAGTTGGTTAGAGCTCGACAACTGTCTCTCTGTAGCTCAGTTCAGGGCGCGAAATAACGGCTGGAGGGACGCCGGTCAAGGTGACCGGCCAACTCAATTTTAGCTCGGACATACCGTATTTCTGGCCGGTCATATTATTCAGCTTAAGCAAAGCCTAGTAAACTATACCCCTAAAAATGTGACTATTTTCCCAGTATTCCCAGTATAGCATTACAAAAAGCCTTACTGTAATCAGTAATTAAAAACTCCTTCACAGACCTTCACATAAAACAACTTGCACTGCGCTAAAACAATGGCCTGTCTTAATTAACTCTTAAGCCAAAAGCATGGCCATGGGCTTTGTGACGTACTGCGTAGGAAAGCTGGCGTACATTGAAGTTCTTTTCCCGCAAGATATTGGACAACATGTTATTATGGTTCTTAATTATAATGCTTGACAACTTTGTTTTGATTATTAATTCAAATGAAGATTAGTTGTTTGTTCTTTTACCAAAAGTAACCGGTCAAAATGACCGGCAAGGTAAGAATTTGAGCGGACAATTCCGCATTCTGGGCGGACATTGTCCGTTGACCGGCCGTTATTTCGCGCCCTGCAGTTGGTTAGAGCTCGACAACTGTCTCTCTGTAGCTTTTACCAAAAGTAACCGGTCAAAATGACCGGCAAGGTAAGAATTTGAGCGGACAATTCCGCATTCTGGGCGGACATTGTCCGTTGACCGGCCGTTATTTCGCGCCCTGCAGTTGGTTAGAGCTCGACAACTGTCTCTCTGTAGCTCAGTTGGTTAGAGCTCGACAACTGTCTCTCTGTATCTCAGTTGGTTAGAGCTCGACAACTGTCTCTCTGTAGCTCAGTTGGT